TTGCAGGTAAGTGCTACAGGAGATGCAATATGGATCAACTGTTTTGTAGGCGTCTTGACAATCACAGGTTTGTGGCCTGTTGGCATCACGTTTATACACCTGAAGAACACCCTGCGAACAATAAAGATCGTCCCGAAATACGCCATGTATCAGGTAAGACACTGATCAAGCACATGTGCACACTTTTTGGATAAAGACTAATAACAGATTTGAAAGACTGTTTTACCAGGATAACACAAGCTGCAACTACAATTAGTCCTTATATGTTTTCATTTGTGTCGTTAGCTGCTCCTGATTCTTACCCAGCTGCAGACAGCTATTATCAACATCTTGGGCATGAATGGCATCATCGCCTGCTCTCCACCTTTCCCCTCATCTATCAGAGGATACAGTGAGTTTACATCCATCTATCCAGTCAGACCAATCATCCACATATTTACAGTTCCATATATATTTGGACACTGACACAAGTTTTATTTTTGTATGTGTTTACTGAAACACATTTCGATAGTTAAATAATATACTTGGACATAATGTGTAAACTCCTTTCATTTGAGGGTATCCACATTCAAACTGGAGGTAGGGTTTAGGTATTCCAGCTCCTTAGCATATGCCATCTTCTTTTTAAAGCGACCAAATGTAATTGGACTATTAATTCAAAGGCTATTTATTGGGGCAGGTGTGGGCAATTCTTGAATATGTCATTATCAGTTAAGCAGATAAAAGAACTTGAGTTGATTTAAGGTGTGGTTCTTGCATTTGAAAGATTTTGCTGTGAACAGACAAAATGTGGTCAAAGGAGCTCTCCATGCAGGTGAAATAAGCCATCCTTAAGCTGCAAAAACAGAAGAAAAAAAAAACATCTGAGAAATTGCTGCAATATTTGGAGTTGCAAAATGTACAGTTTGGTGCATCCTGAGAAAGAAAGAACGCACTGGTGAACTCAACAATGCAAAATGGACCTGGACGTCCAAAGAAGACAACAGTGGTGGATGATCAGAGTCATTTCCATGGTGAAGAGAAATCTCTTCACAACAGCCAACCAAGTGAACAACACTCTCCAGGATGTAGGCGCATCGATATCCAAGTGTACTATAAAGAGAAGACTGCATGAAAGTAAATACAGAGGGTTCACTGCGAGCTGCAAGCCACTCATAAGCCTCAAGAATAGAAAGGCTAGATTTGGGTTTTGCTAAAAAATAAAATAAAATAAGAAAAACATCTTAAAAAGCCAGCACAGTTCTGGAAAAACATTCTTTAGACAGATGAAACCACGATCAACCTCTACCAGAATGATGGCAAGAAAAAAGCAAGGAGAAGCGTAAAACGCCTCATGTCTCTGAATCCAAAGCAAACAATATCTATAATACACGGCGGAGGCAAGTGTGATGGCTTGGTCGTGGATGGCTGCCAGTGGCACTGAGACACTAGTGTTTATTGATGACGTGACACAGGACAGAAGCAGCATAAGTTCTGAAGTGTTCAGAGGCATACTGTCTGCTCAAATCCAGCTCAATGCAGTAAAATTGATTGGGCGGCATTTCAAAATACAGATGGAGAATAACCCAAAACTCGCCAAAGGAACTCAGGAGTTTTATTAAAGCAAATAAGTAGAGTATTCTTGAATGGCCAAGTCAGTCAGCTGATCTTAACTCGGTTGAGCATCCATTTCACTTGTCGAAGACTAAACTTTGGACAGAAAGGCTCACAAACACACAGCAACTGAAAGCCACTGCAGTAAAGGCCTAGTAGAGCATAAAAAGGAGGAAACCCAGCATCTGGTGATGTCCATGAGCTCAAGACTTCAGGCTGTCATTGTCAGCAAAACCATTAAAAATAAACATTTTATTTTCACTTATTTAATTTGTACAATTACTTTAGAGCCCCTGGTATGAAGGTATTGTGTTAAAAAATACTCTAGTTCCTCACATTTTTAGGCAATCTTTTTGTTCCCCCACTGAATTAAAGCTGAAATTCTGCACCTCAACTGCATCTGAGTTGTTTCATCTAAAGTCACTGTGGGTAATTTACAGAGCCAAAATAAGAAAAAAAAAGCAGTCCCAATCCAACTGTATCATATTTAGCATGCATCAGTATCCTTATTTTTTACCAGTAACCCTGTGACAGCTGAGCTTCTTTGTGCCCTTATTCTGCCTTCACAGTGATGAGCCAGCAGCTGCTGATCATGGAGATGTTCATCATGACTATGGTGACACGGCTGCTCTATAGACGACAGTACGATCCTTTACCTGAAGAGCAGGATGCCAATGAAAACACCAGGATGACTGACTTAACACAGTCTCCATGAGAACTAAATTGTGTTAATGTGTGTGTGTGTGTGTGTGTGTGTGTGTGTGTGTGTGTGTGTGTGTGTGTGTG